TGATGCCCTGCTCCATCTCACAGTGACACTATTTTAACTTAAGGTAACTTGAGTGAGTTTCTGTCATTTGGCATCAAAATAATCTTGAGTATGCTTTGGAGTACATATTAAAATTGCTACTTTGCATACACACAAGGATATTTATATGAAAAGAATGTCACTCAGTAGGGTGACATTCTACTCAGATACAGGGGTAAGTCTTATAACTGTCAGAATGTTTTATCATCCAAATAATTAAGAATTTCTTAAAAATTTGAGGATGAGGACTGGATTTTCTAATTCTCCATCTCTACCCCTCATGCATACTTGGTTCAATGACTGCTATGTATTTAATAAGCAACTGCTAAGTGGTAAAACTGATGAAACATCTGTTATTTTTTCTGACTCTTATGCTATTATTTTCATGCACTGTCCCCCGCTCCCCAATTTCCTTTCCCTAATGTACAATATCACTGACTTTTGGAAATACATTATATTATTCACAAAACCAGATCCTGCAAACTCAGAACTTTTTTTGGAAAAAAAATAAAACGTGCCACTGGTTGCAGATTTAATGGACTACCTCATAAAAATAGCTAAATGTTCTAAACATTTAAAATCAGAAAGCCACTTCAACATTACATACATAACTAAGCTCATAGCTTCAACTTATTGACATAAAGTAAAAATATAAAACACAACATTCTAACAGAAAAGAGTTGAATGTGCATTACAAAAACACTTCTTTTCTTATTTAATATGTACTTTCTTTGCAAAAATGTCAAATATAAAACTATATTTTTAGCAAAGAAATGAAAAATGCAGGGCAAATAAGGAATAACCAGTATGTGTAGAGAGCTTTTTGGGCACATTTGATTAAGCTAATTTCTATTTCCAACAGAAATTCTGGTTACAGGATCTGTCACAGATATGCTGACTTCCAATATGTTAAACTAAACAGAATTTCAACTCTCTCCACTGCAACAGCAATATATGTGTGTATAGATGCATATATATTATATATGAAGGATTTTAGCTCTTAGCACTTCCCCTAGTCTCGTATTGATCTGAGGACTAATTCTCCTCCTATTTCAGATTCTTGTTCCCAATGTTCTTATTCTTTTGTTTTTCTTTTTCTGGAGTCACAGCTGTGGTGCTCAGGACCTACTCTTGGCTCTGTGCTCAGGAATCACTCTTTTTTTAATTTAATTTTATTTTTTTAAAGTTGTAGATTTACAATTTTTTGTGCTTTGGTTTCAATTATGCAATGATCAGATACCCATCCCTCCACCAGTGCCCATTTTCCACCACCATGGATAATATCCCTCCCACCCCCATCCCCCCATCCCCCCTGTCTCTGTGGCAGGGCAATCCCCTGTGTTCTCTCTCTCCTTTTGGGTGTTGTGGTCTGCAAAAGAGGCATTGAGTGGCAAACATGTTCAGTCCATAGTCTACTTTCGACATGCATCTCCCCTCCTGGGAGGATCCTCCAAACATCCTTTATTTGGTGCTCCCTTCTCTATCTGAACTGCCCTTTCCTCTAGGATACCCGGCTGGCCTCTAAGTTATGGAGTAATCCTCCTGGTGCTGATCTCAGCTATTCTTGGGTATTAATATCATACTTTGTTACTTTATATCCCCCAGATGAATGCAATCTTACCGGAGTTTGGGGGAACATATGGGATGCTGGGGATTGAACCTGTGTCAGCTGTGTGAAAGCAAGCACCCTACCCACTGTGCTAGCCCCCCAACCTATCCTGCTTGATTATTCTTTTTGTTTGTTTGTTTTGTTTTTTGTTTTTTGAATCTACCTCCTGCCTTTGTAATTCTTTGGTAATCATGCAAAGACCATGAACATATACCAGATTAGGCAACTACCTGGTTCTTAAAAGAATCAAAGTCTAGGTGGAAGAAATATTCAGCCTGTGCGTGGACATCAGCAATTATGAATTTAACAGACATAATCTCTCTCTGACTGGTTATTTTGATGGTCAATGTACATGGCTAGAAGAACTGGGTAAATTGTCAAACAAAATCCAGGAAGTGCGGGACTGGCAAAGGGTTTGGATTACTCCAGGAAACAATTAAGAACAATCTATATGGTGGTCAACACATTTTATGAAAACTAGATATTTAAGCTTTTGCTCAAAGAGCAAAGAGCTTTTAAAGCTCTGTCTTATTGTTCTAGTATCTTCACTTATATCAGCTCTGTTCTGTGGATGTTCTATCTGACTAATGGCACCTCTGTAGAGATTAAGTTTTAGAAAACAATTTGAATTCCAAGTACTGTAATTTCCCAGATATAAAATAGTTGCCTGTTTCTGTTGAAAGGGATATAAAATTTGTCTAACATGCTTACTGGTCATGAAACTGAGTCACTTTGAAAACTTTAGTGATTCTCATGTTTTATTATGGTTATTGAGAAGATAGTAATGATTAGAATTGTGGTTTAATGTACACCAGAGTAGCCAGTAATTTAGGAGAAAATAAAAACAGCAAAAGCTGAATTCTTAATTGCCTCATCCTATTATTAGAATTATATTTATTCTTATTTAATGAATGCTTAGTTACTATTTTTATGGTCATAAAAGTAACTAACATATTTTGTTAATGACATATAAATGTTTGACATATTTTTAATAATATTATTTAGTTATTTCTTCTCTTTCCTTGCCCATCATTTATTTTGGAATTTCTTTAGGATTGTTTCCTATGACCACTATCAAATCTTTATGTGGTTCTAGAGAAATAATGTGACCTTTTAAGCATTACAGAAGTGTCATAATAAAATTGTATTCGGATTGATATTGGATAATCTTGATGGTTTCTTCTAGGTTTAATATTTTTTCTTTCTGTATCTCATTCTTGGGACAGAGAAGGTATCCAAGAAATATTTAAAAATGAGAATATGAGTAGAATAGAATGTAGATGTAACATTAAAATTGATGCACGTATCATCTGTGAATGCTCCAGATGAATGCTTTTTACTGGCAGGAATAAGGAAATTTAGAAGTCCCTACATTAAGACAAAGACAAAATTGAATAGCAATTAAGGAAAATGCTTTTAGTGCAGATTCTTCTGGGAAGACATAACTTATCTGGGAGAAGAACTTTATTATTCTGGAGATTGACTTGTATTATGTTGATCATGTCCAAGTAAGAAAAGAAGGCCAGTTTGGATTTAGAACAGAACAGGAAACTTGGTGAATAAAGCCAGGGCTTCCATTGTCTTAGAGAACTGAGAAAAAAAAATGAATAAAAGTTCCTTCTGCTTCTGAGATTCAATTTTAAGAAGAGATAAAAAGGTGTTTAGAAGTTGTCTCCTCAAATCCCAGTAGGGAGAAGTGTGATGAAGGTCTTCAAATAAAACTCTTGAAGAATAGTTGATCCTTGATCCTTGGCAAATGACCTGTACCGTGCACCCCCACCCACTTCCGGCTTTGTGTTAGGTAGATATTCTTTGGAGTGCATTAACAGAGGAATGTGTCTGACTTCAGACCTTAGCTAGATAGGCTTCTGGGACAGGCCTTCTCAAAAGAATCACTAGGCTTCTAGAAGATCTAGAAGAACGAGCAGAGTTAAGCTTCCAAAGTAACAGGAAACCATCAGGGAGAAGCAATATTGGTGAGTCATTCAAACTCCAATCTTCTGTATTCCTGATATCAGAAAGAGATAAACTTACTCTGTGACTCTCATGCTTAATACTTGGACAATTTGAGGTAGAGATTGAATATGTTTGAGGAGTGGAGAGGCTGCTCAGGTAATTAACTGAAATAAGGGAAAGATGTGACAGTGGTTCTTTAAATGTTTTCAGGAATTTTGAAAAAGTTAAATTTAGGTCTTTATTTTTACCCATGAACATTGAAAATAAAATTAGAAGTGATTTCTTATGATCCCAAGTATAATTAGATTATTTAAGGAAAACAAGGGGGCAGTGTCTAAATTCTAAGAGGAGTAAGTGGGAAATTAAAAAACTCACTTTTAGTTCTGACAATACACTTATTTGCATGGCCTTATTATTGCATTTTCTAATTACTCTCTTGATTGCTTTGAATACACCATGGCGGTTAAACATGTGTTAACCATCCTGTTCTGTAATCTTGTTAATGGCCAAGGTAATTTTATAAGTAAAATGGAAACAAAATAGATTGCACAAAGTGTCATGTAGCTCAAAAGAATGATATTAGATAACATAAATGGATAATACACTGCCTGAAAGCATTTACTCTTTTTCCTGCACCTGTTATGTAGTGTAAATTAATTTGTTCTCTAGAGTAAGAGTTGCATCAAGTCGCCCTAAGGAGGACATGAAAGGTAAACATTTTTCTTTGCCTTTGTTACATGTAAGCAAGGGCTGTTGTATAAGCAGTTACATTGCAGGAGATAAACGCGTGTGAAGAATGATATTAAGATGTTGCTCTGGTTTGCAAAAAGAGGAATTGAGTGGCAATCATGTTCGGACTATAGTCTACTTTCAGCATGCATCTCCCATCCTGGGCGGATCTTCCCAACACCCTTTATTTGGTGCTCCCTTCCCTATCTGAGCTGCCTTTACCCCTAGAGTGTGAAGCTGGCCTCCAAGCCACTCAATTTTTCTTTTGCAAACCACACTACCTGAAAGGAGAGAGAGAACAAAAGGGAGTGCCCTGCCACAGAGGCAGGGTGAGAGGGGGGACTTTAGGGATGGGAGGGAAACTGGGATTAGTGGTGTTGTAGGATGGGCACTGGTGGAGGGATGGGTACTCGATCATTGTATAACTGAAACACAAGCACAAAAATTTGTAAGTCTACATACAACTGTGCCTCCTGGTGTTTCACTAATAAAAATTAAAAAATAAAAAAGATATGGCTCTGGTACATTTGTGGCTTGGTCCTAGGACACCAAATTCGGTTGAGAATGAAAAGCTACACAGCGTCTAATACTCAGCCATAGATTTTCAAATTCCTCTTCTTAAGAGGATTGATCTGATAGCATCTCGTCCGTAATTCTAATGTATTTTTACTGGTAAGATGGCACTTACATCTTGGTTTGACATTTCCCAATAAGGTCTCTCTCCGTAAGACATGACCTCCCACATGACAATGCCATAGCTCCATGCATCGCTTGCTGAGGAGAACTTTCTGTAGGCAATGGCTTCTGGGGCTGTCCATCTGATGGGAATTTTCCCACCCTGGAAAACAAATTGGAGATTTTTTTTCAGCGGGCTCAAAGTCTATTGAAAATATAAAGTGATTTTGCAGTACATATATTTTGTCAGAAAGATACAAATACTGCTTGATTGCAATGGTATTTCAAATAAATAACCCAACAGAATAATGCTGAAATATAAGAAATATTTTCCCTATAATAGTTACCCAGTGAAAGGAAATAGCGCTGTAATACTGCCCTCTTGTTCATCAATTTGCTCGAGCGGGTACCACTAACATCTCACAACAAATTGTGAGACTTGTTGTTACTGTTTTTGGCATATCTAATACGTCACGGGTAGCTTGTCAGGCTTTGATGTGCGGGCGAAATACTCTCGGTAGCTTGCCTAGCTTTCCAAGAGGGGCGGAGGAATCGAACCCCGATCGGCCGCATGCAAGGTAAATGCCCTACTCGCTGTGCTATGGCTCCAACAAGGTACACTTCAGAAAATATCATTTAATTTACTAAAAATTATTTTAGATTCACATAATTAAGCCTACTATCGATGCCATTTCAAGTTCTAGAATATAGACCATAAAAACAATGTACTTCAACATTAAAAGTTATGTTGGATGTATAAGTAATAAAGATAATAAATTCTCATTTAATCAAGACAAATGGTTAAATATGGAACAGAGAAATTCTTTTCAGATTCAATGTTTAACAGAATTTAATTTCCTTATTACCTTTTCATTTGTTATGATGACATTGCTTTTAGATGAAAAGATTCTTTAACAAGAACATATGAGAAGGATAATATTTATTTATAATACTTTAGACTATACTGTATTTTTTTGTTCTTTGGCGTTCAAGTTAACATTTGAACATATTTGAGAGATTAAATTGCATGACCTTAATAGCTATTGTTTAGATATTAAACTCTGATGTAGTCTTATACTTATTTTTATCAAAATTTATTACATTTTATCTCTCTTCACACTCTACAAATCCCCTTTTGCTGTCATGACAAGAATAAAACAATTCATCCATTTGATTTACATTCTGAAATCTTCATAATTCTGAGCCGCAAATTAAACTGAATGAGAACAACACTGTCGCCACTAGATGGCAGAAGAGAACAAGGAGCTGCTCCCAGACCATTCTCTGATGGGCCTGAGAAGCCTCAGGCCTCACACCTTTCTGAAAGGCAAGAACCCATCACAATAGAATAGTATCACCCTTATCAACGCCTTCAAAATCATATCATCTAATCACTGACGGTGTGAAAAATTTTGCATTAGGGTGCATTGGGTGGGGGCGGGTGGTGGTGGTGGTGGTGGTGGGGGGGGGGGGGGGATGAAGTTCATTCTTAGGCCCCAAAAGGAATTTAGGTTAAACATACTTAAAGGTGAAGCCATTAATGGTCTAATCTAAACACAGCTTATTTAGCAATCTAAACACAACTATTTGAGAAAAGAGATTCAACCAGAGTAGGAGCAATTAGGTTTCCCAAGTAAATGAAGCTATATTAAAGGAACCCACTGTTTAAACCCTCAAGGAATTGTTAGAAGGAATGGTGGGGAATAGACCTTGAATTCAATCCCTGATATTACAGATAAGAAAACTGAGCTTTGTGTTTAGGTATTTAGAGGCTTAGAGGTTTAGAGATTCTTTTCCTCGTTTATTTTCAGCTTCACGACCTGAAATGGTTAGAAGTCATAATGCCATAATAGTATTGATAGAAAGTGACAGTTCTGAGATGCAGTGGTCTCATTGATATAAAGCCACAAATACTTAAGAATGGAGAAAAAGTTGTGCAAAACAGGTCTTATTTTGATATTGAATATCCATACATAACTAGTTATAAGAATAGTAGAATGGAAGAGAGCTGAGTCTTAGGCTTTTCATAGTTGGAGGCATAAACTTAAAGGAAGCACTGAATTAGACCAGGAAATTAAATGTATAATTTTGATGGTAGTAGTTTTAGAGTGTGGTGAGGACATTCCTTTTTTTTTCCTTCAATTTTTTATTAGTGAATCACCGTGAGGTACAGTTACAAACTTATGAACTTTTGTATTTCAGTCATACAATAATCGCTTACTCATCCCTCCACCAGTGCCCATTCTCCTCCATCAATGTTCCCAATATCCTTCCCACCACCCCCATCCCATCCCCCTCGCCCCCCCACCTCTGTGGCAGGGCAATCCCTTTTGTTCTCTCTCTTTTTGGGTGTTGTAGTTTGCAGTAGAGGTATTGACTGGCCATTGTGTTCGGTCTATAGTCTACTTTCGGCAAGCATCTTTCAACCTGAATAGGTCCTCCCAACATCCTTTACTTGATCTTTCCTTCTCTATCAGTGCTGCCTTTCCCCCCAGCATGTGAGGCAGGTTTCCAAGCCATGGAGCAGACCTCCTGGTCCTTATCTCTACTACCCCTGGGAGTTAATCTCCCATTCTATTACTTTATTCCACAGATGAGTGAAATCTTTCTATGCCTATCCTTCTCTTTCTGACTCATTTCACTTAACATGATACTTTCCAGGTAGATCCACTTATATGCAAATTTCATGACTTCATCTTTTCTAACAGCTGCATAGTATTCTATTGTGTAGATGTACCAGAGTTTCTTTAACCAGTCATCTGTTCTTGGGTACTCAGGTTTTTTCCAGATTTTGGCTACTGTAAACAGTGCAGCAATGAACATACAAGTGCCGATGTCATTGCTACTATACTTTTTGCCTCTCTGCGATATATTCCCAGGAGTGCTAATGCTGGGTCAAATGGGAGCTCGATTTCTAATTTTTTGGGAATCGTCCATACTGTTTTCCAAAAGGGCTGAACCAGTCGGCATTCTGGTGGGGACATTCTTATGAGAAGAATCCTTGTACGCAGAGACGAGTTCCAGATAAAATGCAGGTTCTATAGTGAAACTTGAATTCAGGTATTCAAAGTATGATAAAAAGTTTCAAGTATTGGAACTAAAGACTCAAAGCAGAAAAGAGTGTGTTGTAAATTAAAAGTAAAGTAAAGGCCCTCCCGTTGATCATTGATTTGCTCGAGCGGGTCCAGTAACGTCTCCATTGGAGATTTTGTTGTTACTGTGTCTGGCATATCGAATACGTCACGGGGAGCTTGCCAGGCTCTGCCATGCGGGCGAGATACTCTCAGTATCTTGCTGGGCTTTCTGAGAGTGGGGAGGAATCGAACTCGGGTCGGCCATGTTGGCTGCATGCAAGGCAAATGCCCTACCGCTGTGCTATCGCTCCATCCAACACAAAACACATAAAGTAGTGCTCTGAAAAAATGTGGTCTAGAGAACATGGACACGCCAACTTGTACTTGTGTACCAGTTAGCACCGCAGCAGCATTTGTTACTGTCAAGTATCTCAGTCTGTGTGGCTCTGTGTACTGATGCCTCTCAAGTCAGACTCACGCTTGCTTCAAATATGGAGACCCACACTTCTGGAGAACAAAGGCCAAGTGTGACCCCCAAACAGATGCAAAAGTAACTGTCTCATCTGGCTCTTCTTATTCAGGATATTTCTTTGTTCATGACAAACAGTGGAAGTGTGAATTGTTAGCCTGCTGTTCTTTTCATTCCTGACTCTTTATGAATTCTAGTAAGACAGGTTAAGATGTAGTTGGAACATTGCATCCATAAAACCATCATTAATAATATTGTAAATCACAATGCTCAATTTTAAAAAGTATAAAAGACCTAGGAATTAATTTAAGACAGAAGGTGCAATATCTGAAAATTATCAGGTATTGTTGAAAGAATTGACTAAACCACAAAGTAATGGAAAAAATTCAGTTAAAGGTTATTTTACGAGCATTCACTTATGAATGATATATAAATTATTCACATACAAACCTATATAACATATAACTTGGTATTCAGTGCAAGTAATACTTTATCATTTCCTTCTAGAGATTTTATTATTTTTCCCTGAGGGTTAGGGAGACACAGAATGCTTGATTAACAGCATTGCTATCTGTTACAAGCTGAACTCTGTGTCCTGGAAATTCATAGGATAAAGTCCTAAACTGCCACCTCCACGCATGTGACTCCTATTTCCAGGTAGAGTTTGTAATCAGGTAATTAAGGTTAGATGAGGTGAGAAAGGAGGGTCCTAATCCAGTATTCCTGCTGTCCATATAAGTGGATGGAGACTCAGGTTTAGAAAGAAGGTGGCCATTTGCAAGCCCAGGAGCGATGCCTCGGGTGAAGCCAACTCTACAGGCACCTTGATTTTGCATGTTCAGCCTCCAGAACTGTGAAAAGTAATTTAAAAAAAGTTTCAGCTAAATTTGTTTCATTTTGCCCTGGCAGCGCCAGTTGTAGAATACACTCCTCGTTTTAAAAACCGAAGTACTTCCCCCCAAGATGAATAACATTGCAAAACAAACAATACATCTTTAGTTGAAATCTACTCTAAGTGCTGCTAGGCTATAATAAAAAACAAAAGTAGATGATTGAACTGCTCTTAAAATATAAACAATTGGAAAAGAAATTTTCTTGCAGGAGAAATAATTTAATTACAAAAATACATGGAACATGAACCTGACAGAATTTCTACATACATTGTTCCAATGTAGGAATGCTGCCATTTTAACATGGGATGTGAAAAGAAAAGACAGCATTCAGATGAAGTTTTATAGTGAGAATATATATATATACACATATATACAATATATGTATATATATGCATATATATACATACATATATGTTATATATATATATATGTGCAGTCATTTCTACAGTCTCTTGCCCCCATGCCTGGCTGTCCTCATCGGGGCCCCTTGGAGGGGGGCGGGTTGAGTTCCCTCCCCCCCACCCCCAGCAGAGCCCCAGCAGCCGAAGATCTCCAGAACCAGCCACAGCCATACTGAGGCCACTCTCCACACGTCCGGACAAGCCTCATGCATGAAGGAACCAGCAGAGGAACCCAGGCATGTGGGTCCTGGGGCTGAGATCGCCAAGCCTGCTCGGATTGGGACTGGGCCTTCTCCAACCAGATCCTCCATCTTCCAGTATGTAGG